ATGCTAATTCGATGATGCTGGCTGGCACACTGATTCACTATGAATGTAGGCCGCACCCCCTAGCGGCAGAAGCTCGTACTACATCCGGCTCGCCCTCTATTGACACAGTCTTGAAACTTTCCGATCGCACCTCGTATAATCCCATTTCACGGACACCCCAGTCTTCAGAATCCTACACGGGACGACTTGCGCTGTGTGCCTTGAGTAACCGAATGATAAATAAACTAGCCATGTAAGTGACGAAGTACAATTGCCGAATCAAATAACTGACTGAGAAACTAACCAATAGATCGACAGAATGACTTAGGAAATTATTAAACATCTAAACGAGCGAATACATAACTAATCAACCGGCTAAAGGCATTCAAAATTTAAACTTGAAACTTGGAAGTGGTAATGCTGATAAAAGAGATATGCCATATATCAAGTTTTATCAAAATCTCAAAACCCATAATAATATACGTGGAAATTAAACTGTGCCATTAACTGAATTTTATTAAAAACGAACCAAACTGAACCAAAATAAAAATGGTTGAAACAATTGAGTGTAGGTCTCCCATAACGATTATGATCAGAATGTTCCAGGCAGTTATGGAGCAACTAATTTCGGAGAGACATGACGAAATTAGTAGTTCAAAGTGATCAACTGTTTTTAAACATGTAAAAATTACCGATATACTTTGCTCTACGAAGTTATAAATTTGTTTACAACCTGCGTATTGTGTTTCTGTACTTTAATTTAAAACGTCGCAACAGACAAAGTATTCTTCACTTAAATAATGACAATTAGCTTTTTTCTGTACCTTCTGAGAAAAAAAACGAATTTTTCTTTGTAAGGAATTAATATTGCAGCAAATATTTCATACAAACATAAATAAACGGTCGGAAAAATGTCTTGCAAGTCTAAGGATACTTAAGCAGCAATGTTCCAGAACGTAATAAACATTTTAAATGTGCCCGATGTTCTGGGAAAAACTCATGTCACCTAATTCTTTTTCAGATGTTTGTACGAAGAATCATAAAGTTGTAATGGCAATAAAAATTAGATATGTTTATGCTCCAGTGCCATTAAATTTTGGCATGCCTTTCTCTAATCGTCATAGGAAGTAAAACAGAATATAATGTCGCGCTGCCATTACAATTAACCTGGCAAAAGCTGCATAATTCTGAAGACCACAACATTTCGGGTTCTTACGGCACGTTCAGGCATTATAGGCACAAAACCGCTCTGCGAGACTTACCGACCTCAAACTGGATTACGCGATTATACTCATAAATGGGCTGGAATATCTACCGAAATGGGTTATAATGCGATACTAATTTTTGCGAGAAAGAACTGAGAAGTACAAAACACATATGAAGATGGCTGTCTTCTGGGATGTTGGGTTGTGGAGATTTACAGGAATGAATCGAAGTCGGTCGTCGAAACGCCGACAAACGTCCACCAGACTACACGGCACAACAACCCAGGAGACACTCATTTTCACACTCACTACTGTGAGAGCCTTAAATCCCGCAAAAACATAATTTGACCGGTTAGTCCAAGAAGTCTCTAAACAAAGTACATATTCGAATACATACTAGAGTAATGACGCCCATATGCATCTCCGAAACTACTAATTTCAATAAGCTCTGGTATTGGGTATAGATGCCACGGTGGTCTAGCGGTTAGAACGCTGGCCTTGTAATCCTGGGGTCTCGGGTTCGATTCCCGGCGGTACCCGAATTTATAACTTGTGTTGGGCAAGGCCGTGGTCTAGGCAACACGGAGTTTTCCTCCGGGGGCTTCCCCAGTTTCTCCGTGGCATCCCAACAATTACTCCATTCACACACAGAAGAAGGCAATGGCAAACCACTTCTGGATCATCTGCCAAGAACGTATATGAACAGGTCCCAGTCCGAGAAAAGGATGGAAGGATCCTGTTCATATGGACCTGTCCTCAGACAGAACACTAAATAATAAATAATTGGGTATAGGTTCGTATACAAATTGTCGTCAGACAACTGCAATTGGGTTGAGGAACAGCGTAATGAAACCTGGAAAAATTTTGTTTAACTTTAAGGCTAGTTCGCAACCCTGCCTCTGATATCCATGTTGAAATTCTGCTCCCATCTACGCCTAG